GTTAGTTTCAGGCGTGCTGACGATGTCGTCCTCGTGTTGGCCTAGCCGTCTCTGTTGCGAGTAAGAAGGCATGCAACCGGTTCGGACCCTGACCGACTATACGATCGTTTTTTTGAAAATTCTATCGGGGACAAGTTCGAAGAATGGAAACAATCCGATACGTCCAGTTGAGTGACATCTCCCAAGGAAATGAACGGTTTCACGTGTATAAGGGCGGAAGGAGACCCCGAATGCTAGCAGTTTGGAAATCGAATTGAGTTCACGCTGGCAGGCCGCACTTTTTGACCATACGCAATGTGAATCATAACTAAATCGCATGCTGGGATCAGAATAATTATTACTGTCGACGTGGGACGATTCCCCAAGCCAGTCTGCAATCGAGAATGTTTTTAGCTTAAACATCTAAAGCAGTTGCGACCCATGTCGACTAGTCACACGGCCGTGGCAGTGATAAAAACGCTTTTACACAACAGATCTCGACCCATGATCTAACGAGAACATCCTTGAGAGGTAGGCGGCGCCTATAGTATATTAGGTTGCCGTTCGTGCATTCGCGTTTTCTATAGTTAGTGCCAGAAAAAAACCTAGTATTAGCAGGCGATGCGTGGGTTTTTCCTCCTAGGACGGTTGGCATAATCATCCACCAACCAACTGCGCCGGTCCGTAACTGCCAAGTTTCCTAAATTTTCTAACACCGTTCGAAGCGCGATGGATGAGATGTGGTATGGAAATCCAGGAATTTGTTATAAGTCGAGGATCCCAGTTGTCAGCTCGACCGTTGGTTGGATGTCCAGCCACGAAGAACGGCAGTATAGTTAATTCAATGACAGTCTATGGTCGCCATATTGCTCTGCCATAATCGGGTTCTGCGGCATTGTAGCGGAGTTGGTTTCTTTTTCCTCAACTCCCTACATTCGGCTAGCGATTTACTTGTCCATTAGGGGCGGCCTTCACCGGCAGTTTTCCTACCCACCCACCACAAATGGGCGCGCCGAAAAGCTAGCTGCCAGGCGAACTGGCGGACCCTGTTTTCTCAGAAGTCCACAATGCCTGGCAATGGCAGACGAAGTGGAAAACGGTTTCTGAAGACCTTGCGTTTCCATTTTATATCATATGGGTGCATGAGCATATCAAAGCAAATCTCGCGAGAGGTGGGATCTAATGTAGGACCCGATGTAAAGCCACTATTTATTAGAGCCATTGGCTGTTGACAAAA